GCGGGTTGATTATTGAAGTCAGATAGACAAAGCCATAGACAAAGAGGACATAGGGAGTATAACGCAATCAAATTGGTTAAAATGGTTGACTCGTATAGACTAAGTTAGAGAATGATTTACTAACTGTAGGGTCTCTCGTGGGTTGACGTTAGTTAGTCTTCGGTACCTATTTCCTCTGTCGAGCGCAGCCACCCGCTTCCACTAATAGGATCCCTCCACATCCTTCTAGTCTTCTTTCTCTATCAATTTCAATAATCAGCCTGCAGCAGTGGCGAAATTTCGGTGTCGGTTCTTTTTTCGATTAAGTATTATTTCGGTTCCAGTATCAGTTTCATTCCGCTTCCAGTAACCTAACTCTGTTGGGAGTTATGATTAAGAGCAGAAACTTATATTGCAGCTTAGGACCAGTGTGATTGATCCCCCCTTTCTGATCATATCTTTCTCTCAGCACTATAAGTCCTTTCGGATCCCGTCATACTAACGTTGTTATTTTGGGAATTACTAAGAGGACACGGTTCATCTTTAAAAAAAAAACAAAAAAAAACAAGTTTTAAAACTCTTCGTAAAAAAGAAAATAAATCTTTAAGGAAAGTTATTTATTTCAGAAGAAATGAATTATATGAATATTTTCAAAATGTATTATTTACCAATTTCTATTATCGTTTATTCGGATACGCGGCAACCGAAGCACTGTTTCAAGGTGCTGTTTTCTCAGTTTCGTTGGAAAGCAGACTGGTATCCTTTGATCCTGCATGATTCATTTCCGCTTTGATCAAGTTTCAAAGCGATAATACACACGACATATACGAATTCTCATAAGTGTTCTCAGGTCCTGTTTCTTTCATGTAAAACGTTCTTGCGCTGCTTTCATCAGGGATTTTCATTAATAAAAAGTTAATATCGCATGCATTTATTTGACATTTTTTTGCACAAATGATTCGGTCTTGAGAGAAATTTACCTTGAGGTTCAGAATCAGTCACACCCAAACCTGCTATTGGATGCGCATTGTACTTGAATGCCGAACCTTCGCTTTGAAAATGGAGAATTTGCACGCAAATTGGACTGCATTTTGTAATTTGAAACTAAAAATTCTAGCCCGGTTTAAAAACAACGTATGTGCCATTAGTTTCTCTACGCACATAAGTGTTTTTCCAAAAGAGCCAGAATTTATAGATCCAAATTGCAAATTGCAGTCCAATTATTTATTGCTTCATCTAAAAGTGCCTATAGAACTGATTCCACAGTATTCTTTATAATTTTTTTTCCGCTACGGGAAATAGTATAAAAATAGATTTGAAAGTGAGAAAATGCGCCGTCTAGTAACGTCATCTGGCACCCTTGTGTTCAGCTCACATGGTGGCGTCCATTCAAACTAGGGATTCGTCAAATTTCAGACACCTGCAATTCCTCCATTGGGCGTATAAAAGTTGGCATGATTCTTGTCGGGAAAATGAAAAGCGGAATTTTAATTCTGCTAAACGGGACTAAGGGTCAACTGAGCACTAACTCATGAGCCGTGGGCATGTGCCAACAGCGTTGTTTGCAAGGCTCATGAGTTAAAGGGCCCCGATCTCGAATTCGACGATCTCCTTGTCGCTGCTGACGTCACTGGTCCTTGTTTCCCACCTTTTTATGGTTAAATTTAGCAGAAATACGTTCAATTTTAAAACGCCAACCAAGCTCTTGACGAATTCCTTTGGATCAATCTGACGAATCAGGTTAACGAATTTCACCACTCTGACGGCTGGTTCAATGTTGATAAACAGAACCCTAAGAGAAGTTCCAAACCTTGATGTAAAATAAGCTTCTCTTAAAAAAAACACATGAAACTTTAAAACTTCGTTCATGTTAGCGCACGCTGCTCTAGAGAAAAGGGGGTTTTATTGCACAATGTTTAACATGATAATTAAACATCAGTGCAAATATTTAGAAATGCAGGTCGGGTGATGCACACTTTTAACCAGGCTGGGAGGGATATACAAAGTTAGTCAAATGAAGCTTTCGTTCACCTCCTATTTTACGACTGAATATCCATTTTGATGGGCTGAAAATATATTAGAACTTGATGACTCTTCTCTTAATTTGGACTTTCATTTAAACTCAGCTCTAGAAAGTAAGCTGTGTGCAAAATATTTGAACATCCAGATTTCTCCCAGCTTCCTCTTATTACATACTTCAGACGGAACTCAGATGAAACAAAATGCAACTTTCATACTCAGATGTACTTTCAGATTCCATTGAAAAAATGAAACATGAAAGTGAAAAATTGGGCAATGCCTAATGTGCGCAGTGGCAAGGCGTGAATGATCGAGAATCGATACTTCCCCATTTGAAGCTCTGATAAAGAATCGATTATTATGGTGTTCCTTGCGAACACCGGTTTCGATGGTAGGTCAATCGATATATCGCAAAGCACGCTACGCCAATGATGCCTGATGTAGTTGTGGTGATTCTGGTTAAAGCCGTGGATTAAGTCCCTAAGAACGTAGCAAAACGAGGGCCATGAATGTGCGTGATCTCCGTGGTTTTTAATCACGACATGATAAACTGATTAACTCGCGACACCGACTCGTACTGCCGTGCTAGGGAAAAACGCCGTATGAGCTTTCAGGTGTTGCCAAATTTCATTTGATAAAACACGAATTTCCTGGTAACCTTATGAATATGTTTCTTCTAATTTTTCGGACAATTTTGTCCGCAAATTCTTTGAAAGGTCCTGAAAATCTCAAGGAAAAATATCCATTAAATCCCTTAAAAATGAATATTTTACCGAAGAAAATTTGGCAACTCTCAAATATTCTTACGGCGTTCCTCCTAAGCACGGCAGAACACGAACAGGAATTCGAAAAATTCTGACGAAAACGTTCGCGAACACTCCAGCAAGAAAATACCTTCCAGAATCCTGTCGAATATTACGAAGGTCTAAGCTGCCGTGTTAAGGAAAAACGCGGCATGAGCCTTTAGGCGTTGCCAAATTTCCCCTGGTAAATCACGAATTTTCAGGAAAATTTTTGAATATTTGTCAGCCAATTCCTCAGAAAATTTCGTTTGTAATTTGATCTAAAACGTCTGAAAATTTGAAGGAAAAATATTCATAACTTTCCTAAAAAAATAAACATTTTATCGAAAGAAATTTGGCAACTCTCGAATGTTCATACGGCGTTCTTCCTTTGCACGGCAGTAAGCTGGTACGGGGCGGGGAATCGTATCGATTCGAAATATGAATTAAGTCACTTCCCCCGCTTTTCCCGTGATTGGAATTGTTTTGTCACGGCATACACTCATAATCTGAGTAGGTATGATGCCTCGTATCTAGAGTGTTCTATCCTATAATCCACTTTCCTTGTTTATTTTTTCCCGAGTTCTCGGGAAAATGATATTGGAATGGACTACGGATTCCGCTCCTTCATTTTCCTCGAGTTTCCCGTAGGCGTCGTACATATTTTTCCTGAAACTCCGCGCCTTTTGCTTGATTTGTGTTTCATTGATCGCTAATTATGTTTGAGCGACGGAATAAATCTCACAAAATATGTCATGCTTGATTGCCATCGATTTTTTAATTACTATGCTCATGATAAGCTCAGATTTTAATGAAACTTTGCTGTAATTAATTTTACCATTCCATACAGGATTATTTTCAACCGTTCATCGCCCCCTTATAAAATGCATTTCAGAAATAGAACTCTTCAAAATATAGATGTACATTTTTTTTTTTTAATAAAAAATTTAAAATCCAGGAATTTTTTTCAAGGTTACGAGGGTAACGAGGTGAGAGAGCACAGTAAAATCATTGTATAAAAATAGGAAAAGCTGAGTATATATTTGCAACACATAAAAAATCCAAACATCTTTCCAAACTCTTCTTCCAGATGATTAAAAAAAAAAAAAAAAAAAAATCCGGAATATCCTTTCCGGTTACGAGGATGGTGACGGAGCACAATTGATGGTAGACGGATTGTATTAAAAAAAAGAATAGCTGATTAAATATTTTTAAAACATAAGAAATCCAAATATCCTTCCAAACTCCAAGGAAAAATACGGCAAAGGAGTGCTGGGTTGAATGAATCGCAATAAAGTAGAAAAATTGAATTTAGAAGGGGGGTGGCTTATTAATTTGAATACCGTGATTACTGATTACTATTTGAAGAAAAGTGGGACAGGCTCGATTCTCTCTTGAAATTTTAAATTTTACCGCGCTCTTTTTTCAAGGAATATTGAAACCTGCTGACAGAGCATCATCTGTCGAACAAATTCTTTACAATAAAATGCGAAAAAAAACTGAAAAAGATCTATAATGAAAATTTAGAAATAGAAATTCTCTCAAAGTAAATGGATGTAAATGTGGATTTTCGCCAACCAAATATAACGGGAGTACGGAACTTATTTCCCCAAGACTGTGGATATCCTGCCACTGGACGCTACCCAGCTGGGCGTGTTTCAAAATTTCGCTCGAGCATAAAAAATGAAAAACGCTCAAAACTCACACTAAAAAGATAGAAGATTACTGAAATTCTGTCTTAGCTTTACAATCTACTACAAAAATGTGCGCTTAATTGAGCCTTTCTTACATCGGGATGTATAAACAGAGAGAAATTTCAACACTAAAGTTTGGTTATAGCACGAGATGTAAAACACAAAATAACCCTGTCTTTTCGTTGACGATTTTAAGAGAAAATGCCGGCTAGTTTCCTTCAGAAAATTTAATGAAAAACGAGTATCAACGTCGCGATTGGAGGAATGAATTTTCCCAGTCTCTTCATTGTTCCTTGCGCTAAATTCACCGAAAACTGTACCAAAATCAACACAAAATTTGTATTGGTTTGTGTTTCACTTCCAAAATTATTTAAAAGTAACACAATAACATAAATAATTGTATTGGTGTAAGAGCTCATTTTCTACATGAGGCAAATCTTTTTCCTGCTCTAACTTAAAATACGTGCTTCTGATCCGTGTATGATCGTTTATTTGACGTTGTCTGACTCGTATTTGTAATTGACAGGAATCAAAAGACGCTGAGAGAGATTCGCCCCAAGCAAAGGCCCCGGAGGAGACCAACACAAACCAAGAAGCAGCATTCCCAGCTCCAGCTCCACAAGGTATTCCCAACTCTGACTGTAATAGGAAAACAATTAACTGAAAAGTGCAAGATGCATAAAAGTTCTTCCATGAGAGATCAATGGTAGTCTTCGATATTCATTACGATCATGGGATATGATTCACAATGAACAATCAGATTGGAACAATTTGCTCGTATATTTCAGGGGGAAGAACACAGTGTCTGGTTCAAGATTTTTTTCTGTTCTGTACCTAACGAGCAGAGAAAGATAGGGGTATAACGCACCTTCCGACACATTTCTTGAAGCATTACCCACTTGGGAAATACTTCACTCAGAACATGTCTTCGCGCATAGAAACCTTACATTAGCATCAGAACGGATTAACGGTCAATGCACTACTAAACAAAGTACGAATTTGTGCATTCTAATACGTGTTTTCTCTTCAAAAATTCAGGTAGATCACGATTTCGCGCGAAGAAAATTACTAAAATTAGAACTATTTCTGCTAGGTGGGACTACAAAAACGACTGGGAAAGATGAAGTGTGCCCGTGGTAAGCTGTTCAAGAAAAAAATGCAAAGTGGTCAATTTTAGTTTGCGTTAATCGTATTCTGCGGGGCAAGAAAACATGTATCGTGATACTTAAATTCGCACATTGTGAAGTAGCCGAATCGTAAACTTTTTCGTACATAAATGACGCATGAAGCGGCAAGGTTTAAAATATCAAATCTGACATTTTTAGCTGAAGAAGCCAACGCTCCCGTGAGACCCCCAAGCCCAATGGACGACCCTGAGAACAAACCAGAGGACAAGAATAATGTATCGGACCTACCAACTGAACAGCCTAAAGAGGCGGCAGAGGAACCAAACCCAGAACAACAGCCTGAGGTATCTCCAGCAAAAAAAGCAGCAGAGGAGGCGAAGAAACGCAAAACTAGGAGAATCAAGGTAAATTCTACCATTTCGATGAAATTCAGCGAAAAAAATTGTCTTGTTGAGGGCTGATATTCAACATGTCTACGTTGACGAATTAGAAAGCACAGGGCTGCCTTTCTATTTTGCCAAAGATTCCGGGGTTCCCGAAATTCCTACCGATTTCCAAAAAGTTCATAAAAATTCTTAATTTTTCAAAAGTTCCCGGAAAAATTGCGAGAAACGCTCAGATAGAGTTCTGAAGGTCGTCAAATTCGATAAAAAAAATCATCAAATTCCAGTCTAACTTCAATCGGTCTAACGTACGAAAAACCCTGAAATTCCGAAAATAACTGCAGGGTATTCTAGGAATTCCGAAAATTCCGAGAAATTGTAATGATTCTGGGATTCAAAAATAATGTCGGGAAGAGGCAGCACTGAGAAAGCAACAACACAACGATAAAATATGTATAGACGCAGAATTTAGGTATCTCACCTGGCGGACTGATGATTATTGAAATTGATGAACAAAGAAGTCAAGCGAAAATGTAGTGATCCTATCGGTTGAAACCGGTGGTTTTCATAGACCGAGGGGGCACATGACAGATTCACTTTAGAGTCTCGCGTAGATTATATGGACTGCATTTTGAAATTTGGAACTATAAATTTTGGCTCTTCTGGAAAAGACACTTATGTGCATAGGGAATAACTAATGGCACATACGTTGTTTTTAAACCGGGCTAGAATTTATAGTTCCAAATTGCAAAATGTAGTCCATATAACTTACCCCTTTGGATCATTGTATTACCCCGTTTCCACCAAAAGGACCGTTTCATTTCCATATGGTCACCTTCGTCTATCGCCTCGTCTATCAAAGCACGGTCATTCCAAAATCATCCACGCAGAATTTAGCTAAGATTTTTCGGGAAAGTTGACGCCGAGGGAAAAGTGGTATGAATCACGGCAAGAGCCGACGTCAATAGTAATTACAGTCACCCATTTTTTCAAGGGCAAAATCCGATTTAATATCGCACGTACAACTTGACGTTGGAGCAGATTGTACATCGCACATATGACTAAGCCATAACCATCAAGTATGTCATGACGCAATTTAATTGCACGCACTTGTGAATTGATGTTGGACACGTCATGATACATATGTAGACTCCACCAAGTGGTAGGAATTGATCCAGATCGCGAGTTTCGAAAAAGAGACATTTTCTAGTTTCCCACATGAAGGGAAGTATTTTTAATCCAAGGTTGAAAAACTACTTCCATAATGCACTTCTTCACACGAAAATGGCGAACTGAAATGAAATGCCTGTGCGAAATTTCAATGATTCGTGATGAAAATTCGCAAGATAATCCATAGGACTTTTGATAAAAATGCCCGATTCGTCGTTCTCCTGATGAAGGAACGTAAGTACCTTCCAAGGTTGCAAAATTGATTCGATCCATTTGATTCTTTACAACTGTATCGTTGTGTTTAGTCCGCAATTTTACTGATTTTCGGATGTAGACAGACGAAAAATACGTGAACTTCCCGGTTTGAAACGATTCGTAGGTAGTTTATTATTTAATAGGTATACAATTTGCGAGTGGAAATTCTGCAACGTAGAAATCTAGATACGTTCATTTGTAGGGGGCAACAACGATTAATGATCGTTCTCAAGTAAAACATTCATTAATGTAAAATAGCAGTTACGTTATTTTGCTTGAGAACCAACAATTAGTGCAGTATCTAGAAGGGGTAGCATAAAAAGGCTTAATTAATTACTGAAATCAATAAATTAACTTAAAGAATTTGCTGGATGCGTCGGGACTGTATTCTTGGTTATTACCTGGATAGCTCATTACCTTAGGAAGATCCTGCATTTTAACAATAAAAGAGGCTGATATAGCATCATGATAGGAAAATAGCGAGATTCCAAAAAAGTTAACTGGAAAAATAGACTCCTACAAGGGGTTACCATGGCCTAATGCTCTCTCTCCCACAACCCTGAAGAAATTACGGATATAAGTAAACAACAGCGAATGTTTTGAAACGTTGCAATCGCAGAACGTGTTTTTTTTACTATCACTTTCGAATTATATGCATACTTACGATTGAAAGGGTTCTTTGCACGTATTTAACTCAATAGCATAGCGTGCTTTGCGATAAATCGATTGATAAGCCATTTAAACCTATGGAAAAGGATCTATAAACAGGGTGTCCGCAAACAACGCCTTCATAATAGATTCTTTACCATAGCTTCAAATGGGGGAAAAATCGATAATCGACCATTCACGCCACGCCACTGATTTAAATAAACAGGAGCTACAACTACATCCATTCTAACATGTGCCCTGAGATCCATTACAGTACACGCATGATAGGGCTCAATTCAATATTAAGATAATTCCTTTTCATTTAAATACTTTACCATATTTGAGAAAAAGCGTAGGCGCACCTAAGGCCACGTTTCGAGAAGTCATGAAAAAGCTTGTTTTCTACAGCTTTTTTTCAGAAATTTTTCCACATCATATGAATTAATATTTTGCAATAAGGAATTACTATCTTTTGCTCTCCCATAAAATCACAAAACTGTTTAGGGAAACCGATGGCATGCATGTTGTTTCTCAAATGGGCCAGAAATAGTGGTTCCTTGATGCAAAATGTAATCCATATGTGATTGACAGGTTAACACCACTGATCAAGAAAGTCAAAACATAACCAAATTTGTGGGGAAGCATGTCATTAGCCGACTAAACAACAAAGTCAGAGTTGGGAGGCTGAGATTCGAAGTAAGGAAACTTTCACTTGATATCAAATTCTGTTCCCGATGCATGAAGTCCAATGTTTACCCCAATTTCATTACGAATAAATTCAAGAAGCATAGCTAAAAATGGGTGGCTCGTATTATAGACTAAGGGAGAAAATGATAGACTAACTGTAGGGGCTCTCGTAGGTTGCCGTTAGTTAGTCTATTACCTACTTCTTCTGTCCAGCGCGAACACCCGTTTTCACTGAAAGGATCCCTCCACATCCCTTTCGTCTTCGTCCATACCTCTGCCTGTAAATTTTAACAATCAGCCCGCCGCTTCCGCCATTAGATTCACTCCACATCCCTTTGTCTTCTTTGTCAATAGCTCCATCAGTCTATAAATTTCAATAATCGGCCCGCTGCCCAACTGAGCAATTGGATCGCAATTAGCAAAAAGGAACCAGCTTGATTAAAAAGCTGTAAAAATGTTGCTTCTTCATGGCTATCTAAAATATCTCCAAGATTAGCAAATAGTTTTGGCTCCCCACCAACATATGGTCAATTTCAGAGGAAAATAATTTTGTAAATTTTAACACTGTACATCTTTTCAGAATTTTTAAAATGTAAGAAGTTACTTGATTTTGGAAGCACTGTAATTCTGCCGTGCAAAGGGCATACGCCGTATGAGCCTTCGGACGTTGCCAAGTTCCCTCCGATAAAAACCGAATTTACTGGGAAAATTCTGAGAATTATTTTCCAAAATTTTCGGACAATTATATCTAAAATATCTGAAAATTTCAAGGAAAAAGATGCATGAATGTTATCAAAATACATGATTTACCATGGGAAAAGCGGCAACTCTCGAATGTTCATACGGCGTTCTTCCTTAGCACGGCGGAATTGCGCTGGTTCCTTTTTGCTGAATGTGATCAAACTGCTTTATGAATCCAGACTCTGGATCAAATATACTATTTTCCCGAGCTTTACCTAGAAATGCATAACTTTGCTTAGGTGGTGATCTTCCGGAAGAACGGGAAGAAGTACCGGGCGGAGACCCCCCTGGACCCGTTCGGGCAGGAGATGCGGCACCTGCGGCGCGTCTACGAGATCTCCGAGGAGTCGCCGGCGGCCAAACGCCCGGCCAACCTGGTGACCCGCGGTCTGGACGCCGAGTCGGAGGCGGCGGCGGCCCCCCACGGCTCCACTCTCAAGCGCGCCTGGGCCTTCCCCGGCGCCGAGGACGTGGAAGAGGACGACCCCTACAACTACCCCCTCATTGACTTGGCCTACCGCCACATGGAGGCCGCACCGGAAACCGCCCCCGCTCAACCGGAAATGAGCAGCGTCACTCCGGAAACACCCAAGAGTCCTGCTTCGCCGACCTTGACCGTGAGTTCTACTCATAGAGTACATAGAGTCGTAATGTAAATGGGAGAGCTGGCGCCATGTTCTGCTCGACGAATTCCGAGCCCGGTGTGCGCCGAGTTCGGGTCGCTTTTTCGATACATTTTCGATCCAAAGTGGCGGTGTGGAATACGTGGTAATTCCGATCTCCTTTGTTGTTGTTGTTGTTGTCATCGGATGGCCGGGTACTCGTGTATCGCAAACAATCGATTATGTATCGACAAAGTGACCCGGCGTCACACAGGAGTCTCGGAATTCGGGACATGGAGAATGCTTAAAACTGGCGCCAGCTCTCCCAATTACATTACGACTCTATGCACTCTATGGTTCTTTTCCAGAAAAAAACAAGAGCCGCGATTTGAATGGAGATGTTGCATGTGAGAGGAATTTGCGATTTGACTGTTGATTCTTGTGTAAAAGTTCGCGAGAAACACGATGGTCCCACTGGTTTTCTCTGAAATCAACTTACAAACTCCAAAAAAGCTCTCAAGTTGAGGTCGAAATGGAGGGGATAATCCACGGTATCCTGAGAGTCCACCTCTACACTAAGACCAACTCTCCATGCAAAGATAGGGAGCAATACGTTAGCAGGGTTGCCGTGTTTTCGGTTTTAGAGTCCCCAAAGAAAGTGGCAGCCCTGTCAATGAATTTGCTCCCTATCTTTGCATGGAGAGTTGGTCTTGGAGTAGAGGTGGACTCACCGTGGGATATCCCCTCCATTTTGGCCTCAACTTGAGAGAATCTTTTGGAGCTTGGGAGTTGATTTCAGAGAAAACCAGTGGCACCATAGTGTTTCTCTCGAACTTTTACATAAGGAACAATAGTCAAATCGCAAATTCCTCACACACGCAACATCTCCATAACGGGCCTAGTGGCACCTTCTCCTCCTCCTTTTCCGAGTGGTCTCTTATCATCGGCGGATACGGCAAATTGGCAACATTGTTTTTCTCCATTTAAACCATGAATGACACAGAATTTCGAGACTGAATTTCCCTGACATTTTCCGGCCACATTTTGGTAAAATTCCCTGATAATTGATGATATTCCAGATATTTAAAAAGACACAATGTTAGATAGTTTTCGGGCAAAGTTTGTTGTTCGAAACGTTAAACCCATTACAGACAGCAAATTAGGGTGGCTTATCTGTTTTTTTTTTTCAACACTTTCGTCATATTCCCTGACACTTCCAGATTTTCCCTGACTTTTTAAAATTCCCTGAAAATTTCCGGTATTCCCTGACTGTGGCAACCCAGTTGAACCTGCCGAAACGTATCGATTCTTGAAGGGCCAGGTGCTTTGACAAGAATCGATTATATACATAGGTTTGAATGGAGGGAGTGCGGTGTTATCAAATTGCTGGATCCGCCTCTGCCTCTGATTAATCAGATGATACGCCTGGTGCCCCCTTGCTGGGGCTCTTACGAAAAATCACACATGGCTCATTTTACAACGAAACTATCTCAAAACAAGGACTTTATGCGTAGGAGATGTTAGAAATCAATTCTGAAGATTTTTCGGAAGAGTTGATTTGGGCACATTTTCCCAAACACACCGAACAGTTCAACTTGAAATTTGACACTATGATGTTATGAAGAAACCAAATTCAGGTCGAACTGATCGGCATGTGTGAGAAAATGAGTCGTGTATTATCCATAAATCTCTTCAAACAAATCTGGAGAATCAATTTCTGAAATCTCCTGCGAATAAAAATTTGTCCTTGTTTTCGAGATATTTTCGATGAAAAATCTCGCGGAAGTCATGATACAAATATTTTAACTCTGGTGCGACCGTAGCGGTATCACTCGGAAATGAAGGCGTTTTTAATTTCATCGTTACCTTTGCTTATTTTCTGTATTATGTTTTGTCTACCTCGTGTTTGACCGAGGCTAAATCAATGTACTGCGTATCAATAACAGAGTTCACTAGAGTCGTGAAGGACTGTGACGCCGATATATACAATCCTTGAACGGTGCATTTCTAGCCTCCTGTTTCAGATTTCTGATCAGATTTTGGAAATATGACCCAGGTTATTGTATATTAGAGTAGATCAGGGAGCTTGGAGGGGGAAGGCTTCAATATTTTAACAAGGCGGGAAATATTGAATCTTGGTCTGTAAGTAGGGTAAAGCGACAGAGCACAAGGGAGAATTTCATTTGCCGCCCTGCGCGCACCACCTGCCTTCATTCATGTTCACTTATTACTTCACACGACCAAAGTGTAATTTTAAAAGTCGAAAATTAAAAAAACTTTACACGATGTACAAGTTTCTCCGCCAGGGAGCAGGGAGCTCTCCCCGCATAAAATCGTTCACCACCCGCGACGTGCTGCCAGCTCAAAACGCGCACTGACGCCTACAAATCTAAAGGGCTACTTCACGCATTGCGCAATGCTTGAAGGCCCTTAGGTTTGTAGGCGTCAGTGTGCTGTGCATTTCGAGCTGGAAGCGACAGCATTCCGCGCAGCAGTGAGACATAAACTTGCCCACAATTAATAGGTCAGGGTGTTAAAATGTAAGCAATTTGACGTCAAATTCGAAATTAGCAACTTAAAGAAACACCAGTTACGAAAAGTTCGTGATCTTTCAGTCATTATCCGAGTTGTTTCTTCCTATTCTTGAGTTTTGGACCATAGCGCGCCGCGGGCGGCGGCGCTCATTAAATTCTTCCCGGTACTCAAATTTAGGGCAAAGTATGTGAATCGGACTATACATCCAAAAGTGACGAAACGCTCCGTTCCGTTCGTTCCTTTTCGTTTAAGTCTAGGCGTCAAGTTTGAAATAATAGTTCTGTATTAACTTCAAGCTATACAGAGTTGGTTTCTTTCTTCCCCGAAAAATTGAATAGGAGCGGAAATTTTGAAACATGCGATGAACGTATACTCCGATGGTGAAACCACTATATCAAGTATCTCGGACTAACTTACTTGAACTGTCTTCTCTGTGCGAGAAAAACTCTGTAAAAACTTCGAGGAATGCTATTGATTTGTTCTCCCTAAAAAAATAAAATAGGAGCGGAGATTTTTTGACACTGTAAACGAATTTTCTCTCCAGATCAATAATTACTTTGTGCTACGGAGAGAATTATTTTCTCTCCGGAGAAGTTAGGTAGTGTTCCGCAGAAAAAATGTTTCTCTTCGGAACGAGAATTTTATGCTAGGGAGAGAATTTTTTTCTCTCTAGAGAAATTGGTTAGTGTTCCGGAGAAAAATAGTTTCTCTTCGGAACTAGAAGTTTATGCTAGGGAGAGAAAATATTTTCACATCAAATTGGAAAAAAAAATCGAGTGTCAGGGAAAGTCTTTAAAAAGTACCCCTAGAAATCCAAAGCCGGGTCAAATTGACACGACCATCCCTTCTGGGAGAGTTATTTGCTGGTTCATACGAGATACATCTTTAGATGTAGGTCTATAAGTATACCCGAAAAAAATGAGACAGCAAATTGAAAAATGAAGAAAAATATTTGAGTGTCAACAAAGCCGAAGATGGAGGAAACGTATTCAGGGCTCCTTCTTTTTAATTTTCTGCTTAATCTGTGCGACATCACAATGGAAGCATATCATAGAGCGACGCATTGCGAGTTTATGCCAGGTGCCTTCAATTTTGCAAATGCAGCACGGACATCCATCGTGCACGAATAGTTGTATCTCTGCGCCGTCATCAACGCGAGTCTTTTCCCTAGCTTTCATTTCATGTTGTGTTGGTTTTTGCTAACAGATATACGCGATTCCGCTCTCTGACCACCGTCATCTTCTTAATTTTTTTTTTCTTTTCTTTTTTTCCAATGAAATCAGGACAAAAAAAGGATTCTGTGCAGTGCGCTAAATCACATTAACACATATCGATGGCTAACGAACAACACCGCCAATCTGCAAACTGGCCATTTTGCAGGACAAAGAGAAAACCTCGCCATTTTTGTAATTTTAAGAACAGATTTGCAGTATTTTCATACAATACAGCATCATTGAAGCGCTCCCCTACAGAATTGGAAAAATACTAAAATCATCAGCTTGCATATTTTAGACTGGAGAATGCGGCTGGGTCGCTAACACATTTTTGCCAAAATTGTCAGTTAGACATAGTAAACTATATAAAAAAGAGCTCAAAGCCAAAAATACTTCAGTGTGCTTAACTGCATGATGTTAACATAACGAGAAAACGATGAAAGAAAAGTCACAAAACATTCTTTACAGCGGCAGACGTTCCGCGAACGTTCACTGAATTATTTTTGGCTTTTAGCTCGTTTTTAAATAATTTACTAAGTCTTTAATAGCTTAGCCAGCCAAATTTGGCATTAGAATGTATTGTCAGGTAGGCGGTATTGTTAGTTAGCCCTCAATACTTTTTTTTCTTATAACAAAATGGCTCCTACTAATCTTGAATTTTTTCGAATCTAGGCCCCCGACACTGCTAAGAAACCAACTTTAGCCTCCCGCGACCTCAACTTCGTATCCCTGTTGCATACGGAGGAACCCAGAACAGGCTCAGGCAGTACCCTATCTACGAGATCCCTCGGGACCTACGGGATCACCCTACCACCCTCCCTCACAACGAGGAACCTGGGCTCCTGGGGCCTACTCGGAAACATTGGCCGCGCAGCGGACAACACTCTTGGATACGTCCCCAACGCCATAAACGCCTACAACCAACCATCATACAACACGCCCTACAACACGGCAACCGGATCATACGGACAGGAACCCTACCAGCAACCTGGCTACACCGGTTATAACACCTACAACCAGCCTCGCGGGATCCCAGACCCGAACCAGGTGAACCCGAACCAGAACCAGGTTATCCCAAACCAGAACCAGGTGAACCCGAACCAGATGAATCCGAACCAGACTCAAGTGACCCCAGGGCAGATTCCGGACCCGAAGAACCCGAACCAGGTTCCAGACCCGCGGAACCCGAACCAGAGGCCGGGCAACGCTCTGGACGGTTCTGATAACCTCCACGTGGCTGTGTACGAGAATGGGATTGATAAGCCTGGGATAGTAACTGCGGGGATCAACGCGGTTTCGAATGTGGCCAAGGCGACGGTCCACACCGCTGGGGCCTTGGGTGATGCCGGATTGGAACTCGTTGGAGGAGCCCTCTCTAGTGCTGAGGGTGGAGTCGGCGCTTTGAGGAGTTTCTTCAACTATTAGGCTTAATCATTTTTATCCATTTTGGATCCTTAGATTCACGTCGCTGTGTTCCGTGGATCCTGATTGGTGGAGGAGGATGGCTTTATTGAAGTGGACATATTTCTGCCGAACGGAACTATGTGTATTATGACGTGAGCCCTGATATGCATATATTCTTATGAGTCTCAGGGTTCATGTCTCGATGCACGTAGTTCCGTTTGACAGAAATACGTCCAACTAAACCAGTGGCGGGGCGTGAATAATCAATTGTCGATATTCCCCCCCTTGAAACTGTGGTAAAGAATCGATTATTAAAGTGTTGGTTGCGAACACTCTGTTTTCAATCATTTTCCATAGGTTTAAACGGCATATCAATCTATTGATCGCAAATCACGCCACTGAACTGAACTTAAAAGTAAAGTTACCTCCGGACTGACCATTAATGATAATTAAAATACGATATATTCAACCATATTAAAATAGAGTTTCAACGGTACTTTTGTGTACATTCGAAAAACACAAAATAAATAAATCACTTTTAACAAACTATTGAGGTTGCGTTCTGTTTAAACCCTACCTCTTCCTCTTTCTAGTTAAACCGAACCTCCAGGATTCTCGTGTAGCTGATTCTATGATTCAACTTCAAATTACAGAGTTGCCAAAGAATTTAGAAAATTAAATTCCCTGACATTCCCCTCACACGTTTTAGTACAATTTCCTAACAATTGAAGAAATATGCCAACTGGTCAAAAAGACAAAATGAGAAATAGGTTTTAGGCAAAATTTGTTGTTTGAAACGTCAAGCCTGTTCTAAAAAGCAAATAAAAAAGATGACCTGACATATTTCCCCTGACACTTTCAGGTTTTCTCTGACTTTTTTTAAATTCCCTGACATTTTCAAATTTTTTCCGGTATTCCCTGACTGTGGCAACCCTTCCAATTGTTAGATTGTTGATGCAGGATGGAAAACACTTTGCGCCATTCTGTAGCCTCTATTGACCACGACGTTATAGTTCCGTTGGAAATTGAATGCGAGATCCACATAAAGTTCACCTCTATAATCACTATCAATCAAACCATTTTTTGCGACAACACTATATTGTCTAACGCTAAACCGGAGCAGCCTCCAAAATCAGCAAAAAATTAGACGGTGATTACACGATTATACTGCAAGGAATAATCGTTTAGTCCTGAGGCTTAATGATTATATTTTTCGAGATCCTGGTATAGATGGATCCAGCAAATGGCTACATTGTTTTTCTCCATTTAAACCTATGGAAACATAGCAATTCTTGGAGGGGTCAGGTACTCCAACAAGAATCGATTATTATTTAACACATAGTATAAATGGAAGGAATCTGGTGTTGCCAAACGGCTGAATCCGCCTCTGGATTGTGGCGAGATCTCATAAGCGGAAAAAATTCAGTACTTTTTCGGTACCTTTAAGTTGATTAGAGTTCCTTTTATTTAGTTATATTTCTTACCGCTTGTTTATTTTTAATTCTTTTGTAAAAATTATCAATTTGCTAAATACAATCGTAGCTTCACCACATTTAAACTATGCGGCTGAAACTGCAACAGCTGCAAAGAAAAACCGACGAGGTCAGCCTGGAGGCTGATTCAATATTAACCTTCCAGCAACTCGCCATACACATTCGAATACCTATCTGAGACTCTGACTGTCGACAGTTTAGCCAGTTCAAAATCTCATCCATCACAGTCAACTATCCGAGACTCTTACTTGAGTAGGACAATATATTCCCTATTGAAAGAGATTAAAATAGCACATTGCGTATGCACTAAACTACTAACCTACTGAAAGAGAATAATAGGACTTGAGTGGACTGCGCATTTGCATTTTACACTGATTACTCGGAGTGTGCCGCTATGCACATTTGCATTCATACCGATTAATCGCCGCGCTCTTTCACCGTGAGCAAATACAGAGGAACTTCAATGCCAAGCTTACGTTTACAATCTTACAAAATTTGTCTCATGATCAATGCTCGATTATCAGTAAAAAATATATTTCTTACACTGTCAAAACGAAGGAATAAACACTGTTTGGGGACGATTCAAAGAAAAAGTAAGAGCCCGCATTGAAAAGAGCGTGGTCGCCTGATCGTGGCCTGCGCTTCCCGCGCTTCCTGTTCAGCCAATCAGCAAGATGATTCTACTCTGCCGTACTCAGCAAGAACTCCGTATGAACATTCACGGAAAAAAATGAGTTAGGGTTGAGGACTAGTTTCTGCCCTTCAACACTACCGCGCGGTACCTGATTTCGCAGTCGTAAGCCAAGGTAGTGCTGAAGCCTACCTCGCGCTTGCGTTCCACGCTAGATGACCCGTGACGTTCAGAAACAGATCTGGCAGCGCGTAGGCACAGAAACAGAAGGCTCCAAGGATAGATCCGGCAGGGCTGAAGCCTACTTGATGCAAAGTTGCCAAAATGTGCGAAAAAATCTGAATACACCCGTAGAGCATAATTTCATCGCGCACAATATACTTTTTTCAATTATTTTTATTTTTTTTTTAATTTTTTATTTTTTTAAATTTTTCTTGCAGTTTATTGGGCTTTTGTTGCTCAGGAAGCCAAAGCTAGCTATAGACACGAGTTTTTACAAAGAAATTATTTGATTGTCAACGGGCATCAGGGGGACTTTTAGAACATTCATGCTCCATAGCTCCGGCTTTCAGATTTTCAGGGATTAAGGTCGAGTAGAATCTGTTTCTGCAGATCCACTCGTCAGTTCGGTGAAAATTTTTCGCCACCACCGGGATTCGAACCCGGGATCTATGGGTCTAGAGTCAGACGCGCTAACCACTAGGCCAACCTGGCCAGCTTGCTTATGTCAAGGAAAATCTGAGTTTTTGGGTGTTGATTCTTTCCTCATAGTATTAAACTATTACTTTAAATAAAGCGCCGGACTGGGCAACGCGACGCGGGGCAGCCATGTTTTCTTTCCTCGTCCGAGGCGAATACGATGACGTAGTCGAGCAGTCCACGGCGCATACGCATCCCGGACATTCTAGCCTTCCGCAAGAGAAATTCTACTTGTGGAAACAAGCTTGCCGTGTGTGTTGCAGTCAAGCGGCGGGTAGGCGCTACGGACAGCGAGAGGTAGCGTTGACGAATACATGTTCTGTTCCTCAGGACTACCGACCCTAAAACTACCCATAGGTAGTGCCGAACCCTACCCTGATTTTTTTCCGTGTTCAAGAGTTGCCAATTTGCCCCGGATAAAACGTTCATTTTTGAGGATGATTATGCATTTTATTCTTTGAAATTTTCAGACGTCTTGGATAAAGTTGCGAACAAAATTGTCAGAAAAAACTGAAGAAAAAAATCCACTATTCTCCTAGTAAATTGCGTTTATGTATAAATATGGCAACGTTTGAGGACTCATTCGGCGTTCTTCTTTAGCACGGCAGTACTGGTCCGGAAATAGTACTGATTTTTTAAAGGCAGTTCTGGTACTGAAAAAGCGCAGAACTTCCCAATGAAGGTCCGGAATTTTTTGCTTCTTGCCACGAAAGTTTTTTAAAAGAGCCTGGAAAATATTCATTCCGTTGCGCTTTAATTCTTAGTGCAGTATTTCTCAGCGCTAGATGGAGATAGTAAAGCCAATTGATACTTAGGGCACCAATGATCTTCGAGTTTCTTAGCTACATAATTTTTCTTGCGATTTGCGAGTGACTTACGAAAATTTTCGAATTTCGTCACTTAAAATTATCATAAAAGTACTGGATTTTCCTGCTGTTGAGGTACTGAATTTTCGGTGAGGTACTGAAAAAAAAACTATCGAATTACTCGATGTTTGCCAGCCACTTTTAGTAGACACCCTGTTAATGCAACACTAGAGTCCCGATATGGAGAGTTGGCACTTTCGAAAACGCCTTCAATCATGGCGTGATACCTCACGCATTCCAGAGAGTACGAATAGTTGTATCATTGCGCCGTTGCAATGCGGAATATCACTGTAGAAGTAGCCTCCATGCTGGCCACGTTTTTTTTTTGCCGCAATCGCAGTTTTGACCACATAATTTAAGTGTGCTCAAGCTAGGATTGTGCTTAGCAAATGGATACTCTTTGTATAAGAATTAAAAATAGACAAACGGTATGAAATATAACTGAATGGTAGGATCAAATCAACAACAAACCTCAAGTTACGAAGAAGTACTGAATTTTGCTGCTTCGGTTCGAATTTCCTGGCTGCGATATTTTTCTCGCGATTTGCGCGTGAATTGCGACAATTTTCGAATTTCGCAATTTCATGGTACCAAAAAAGCACTGAATTTTTTTGCTTATGAGGTAGTGAATTTTTCGGAAATGTACCGAAAAATTACTGTAAGAGTACTAAATATTTGCCATCTAATTTTAGTAGACATCCTATTAATGCGCCACAAGAATCCCGATGAGGTAAGTTGGCAGTTTCGAAAACGCCTTCAATTGTGGCGTAATACCACACGCATTCCGGAGAGTACGAATAGTTGTATCTTTGCGCCTTGAGAATGCGATGGAAGTCAAGTATTAAAGCAGCCTCCACGCAGGCCATCAACTTCGTGTATCCGCATTACGGGCATCCGTGGAGCAGTAATACTTGTACCAGGATTTACCTTCGATATCGCGTCTAGCGTCTTGACTATGTGCAATTGTGCATAACAATATCTGGTACCTGATTGGAGAATTTGCATGTCTCTGCAAGTCGATGAATTTTTTTTTTTAAGGTGGAAGTCACTGGGAGAACGGAGCATAAAAGTACACTTGCTTCAATAATTGAACATAAATCGAGGAAAAAAGACAAGATTATTTAATCCGATAAAATATTTGGGTTTAAATGGGAAGAGACGCCACTGGAAGGTGCATTTTCTTACTCTTAAATCTATTTTTATATTATTTCCCATGTCTGAAAAATTTATACAATTCATGCAAAATTAGGTGTTTAAGCACTCTCAGGTAAGGCGATAAAACGTTTGTATAGAAATTATCCATCGGAGGAAAAAATACACATGATGAGTGCTCTCTGCTGTGGGCTGTGTTTGTTCCGGACTAGACGCCACACTTTTAATAGTTTTAAATTTTATACATTGATGCGGCAAAACTGAAAAAAACGCCGTAAATCAACTTTTTTAAGCTATGGAAGGAATCCTTGAATATAACGAGGCCCAACAGTAGCACCAGATGCAGGCCAACCACCAGATGCAGGCCCAACCCGCCCAACACCAGCAGCCTCAAATGCCCCACAACCCCAATGAGCAGTTGAGACAACAAGTGATGCACTCTACAAATGCGCTGTTATCAGTCAACGGCGTAAACTTAGTGAAAATATAACTTCAAAAATTCAGCTCAGATGAAATGATTCGTTCCGCAAAATCCGTAGAGTCATCTCAGATCCAAACAAAATCAGAAAAATTGAGGGATGTGTCAGAAAATACCCCTAATCAAGGCCCTAGCTTTCATAGTGGACAACGATCTGAGTAAAGAACGAATGTGGCAATAAGGAAAAATGCCAAACGGCGCGGAGCTGACAGTATAACCATCTTGCAGAG